GACCACAACTCACAACAGCCAAATTTGCAATCAACTTGTCCATCGGCTCTTCCACAGTGTCCGATAAATGGGCAGTGCAGCTGAATCTCGACATTTGCCTCATTATGCAGTGACCTGTCGTGAGAAGTAGCTGCGTTGTGAAAAGCCACTACTTTCGATGGTGAGAGGGGAATGTGCAAACAGGCGGTAGACGTAGAGTTTGCTTTATCCAATCTTTTCACTCTGTCCCCCACTTTATGGCCAATGCATTCTTGTCAAACCTTCTCCTCTTCCCCCTCCTTCCTCCTCCACTTCGCCCTCCCCACACTGTTGTGGACGGCACTTTGTTTCCTTTCTTTGCCAAACAGTAAGGTCTGTGATACAGCCTGAAGGTGGTGGGCAGCATTGATGCCAAGACTGATAGTCACATGCACTTTTGGTGACCACCTTAACCTCGCATTCCTCGAGAAGGTGGTGAAAAGTGGAAAGAAAGGCAGAATGCAGTGTTGGTGCGAAAGACAATGTCATCTCTTCCATAACCTTAGTAGCTGAATGGAATGCGGAGCGAGGTGGTTGAACGACATTGGTATGTGAGAAGCTTGTCCTTTCTTCTCATAGGCCATCGCCCAACGAGTGAGATTGTTTCATAACGCTTCATTTCAAACAATATTTTGGACTATGCATAACAATTTGATGGTGAATAGTGGTTCTATTCCTGCTGCTACCAGGCACTTAAGTAATATGTGTACCCCACATAGCATGCTTAATATCAAGCCAATTGTACACCAAAATTGTACAGGAGGTGAAAGATTGCCTCAACCACTCCAAGATGATTGAATAAAAGTGGTGTACCTTCCTGTGTAAAAGGGTTTGCGCAAAAAGACTAAATCCACTCTCTCTACTGCTTTATGTCCCCAACTCCCGTAAACTTCGAAGGCCAGTTTTGATGTGAATAGAATGAAAACGCATAGAGATATGCAAATGTATATTGACATAAATATTAATCGCTGAGGCAATTCAAATTCTGAAGTTCACATAAATGTCGAACAGCCGTCTGCTCTACCTCCACCCGTTGTAGAATCGGATGAAGTGGAAAAGGAAGAAGGAGGTATGACCAACTTTAATCGACAGTACTGTCCCAATAAGGGGGAATCCGATGGCTGGATCGGGAGCGGGTCATGCAATATCAGTCCCCCCTTCAACGATGAAAGAGCTTCAGAAGGCTGTGGTAGTGTCCTCCTGCTCTCTGATGGTTTTAACAGATGATCCAGGGAGGGGAGATTGATTGAGGTTGAGGGAGCATCGTGAAAGGAGACAGGTCGAGTACGGGACGCAGAACGACTTGGTAAAAGTCGAGTGCTGCTCTCTAAAGGTTGACGCGGCTCAAAGAGCGATCGAGTCATGAGATCTTCGCAGGGCGGAGCCGGAGTGGAGAGAATGAAACTGTTGCGCTGTTTCAAACGATCAGCCAGGGTCTCAGGAAGGGTCGAAGGTTTGTAGGGTAGAATGTCGGCATACCAACTGCTACTGCTACTACTTGCCACCGTGGTGGTAGTCGAACCAGATGGAGAAACCGTAGAGGCTGGACGACGACTGCGGAGAGAATCGTCGAAACGTGGTGAGCGTTGATAGGAGACCCGTAAGGCGCTTGTAGCTCGTCGGTGATGTAGAGTCCTCTAGAAGTAATGATTTAAAAACCCATTTGATATGATTCCTCACTGTACCAGCAAATCAAACGAATTTTTGCGCTCCTAGTTATACAACTAACATAAACATGAATTCGACCATTTATGAGGTAGAAACTAAAAGCATTCTAGGCACGAAAACATTCAGCACCCACTCTCAATCATTTCGTTCAGAAAACAGCATTATGATCAAACGATAGAAAGTGAATGGACGATAAACTACTCCGTGTCTGAACAGAAACAAATGGATATTAGAGACGGATGGAGAGAAAAAATGAAGACTTAGAAGATGGAAATTCATGTTGTGATCTTTATGGATAAATGGTTCAATGCACCTCAACAAACACCGGAGGCTGAGGTGATGCACTGAGAGCTGGAGGTGTAGAACCGGCTGGGTGATCTCCCAACTCCATCAGGGCAATGCTTAGGGTACTCTTGGGGGGCACTGGAGGCGGCACAGGTGGCTGTGGAGGACCAGTGAAGACGGTGGTAGTAGGCAGAGGAACGGCATAGGTCGGCTCTGCTTCAGTCTCAACGCTTGTTAACGTAGTAGTTGAGGCGGAACGAGCAATAGTTGAGTCACCAAGCCGATGAGAGGGTTGTGCAGTGGTAGGTGTTCTTTCCGCCAGGCCAGTAGTCACCACTGTCGACACTGGGGCCACCTCCTCATAGATACGACTTGTTGGTGAAGCGTAGATACTACAAGTAGTAAATCGATGCAGATAATGAAGAGATGCTAACCAAAATTTTCCCAGCATAAAGAACGCAAATCATCGTAATAAAAAAGGTTCATTTTCTGCCTGTATACAGACATCTTGATAATTGAGAGGCTTAGCATCCGCGGCTGTAAAGCACTCACCAGGTGTCACAATCCTGTCCTCTTTTAATGCTATTTACACAGACATTTCGTAGACTACCTCCTGTCGAGTGTAACAAGTTCTAGGATAAACAATCAAAACAACTGAGGTGCCAGACAAGCGATCACGTGACACGACCACTTCTAGCCTATATCACTGCCGATGTAAATGAATACAGAAAAAAAAGCTAAAAAAGATCCCATATGAAGAAAAGAATGATGATTCTTTGGAATTCTGATAGATTCCAAGGAATGTATTTTGTTAAGTTGTGGAATTTACACGATTTGCTTGCCAACCGTCCAGTTTACGCCAAATAAGATGACGATTTTAAGATGAGAGATGGCAACTACTGGGTGAAAAAGCAAATTGAAACTCCCTTGCCCTCCTCCCAGTTCCACCTCCTTCCATCAAAACAGCCCGTGGATGGAGTAGTTGGACAAGCTTCTCACATACCAATGTCGTTCAACCACCTCGCTCCGCATTCCATTCAGCTACTAAGGTTATGGAAGAGATGACATTGTCTTTCGCACCAACACTGCATTCTGCCTTTCTTTCCACTTTTCACCACCTTCTCGAGGAATGCGAGGTTAAGGTGGTCACCAAAAGTGCATGTGACTATCAGTCTTGGCATCAATGCTGCCCACCACCTTCAGGCTGTATCACAGACCTTACTGTTTGGCAAAGAAAGGAAACAAAGTGCCGTCCACAACAGTGTGGGGAGGGCGAAGTGGAGGAGGAAGGAGGGGAAGAGGAGGTTTGACAAGAATGCATTGGCTATAAAGTGGGGGACAGAGTGAAAAGATTGGATAAAGCAAACTCTACGTCTACCGCCTGTTCGCACATTCCCCTCTCACCATCGAAAGTAGTGGCTTTTCACAACGCAGCCACTTCTCACGACAGGTCACTGCATAATGAGACAAATGTCGAGATTCAGCTGCACTGCCCATTTATCGGACACTGTGGAAGAGCCGATGGACAA